AAGTTCTATATTGCTGCATTGGTTTCTGTATACATCTGTTTCTGCAGGGTCTTGCTTTAATAGTGATAATTAACTGTTCCCTGGCTAGAGTTAGAGTTTAGGAAAATGTTGTTAATAGTATTTATTTTTCTTTTTCAGTTTCGAAGACCGGTCTTTCAGTTCATGAAGATAAAAACCCAAGTTCCCTACGTAAAGGTACTTGTGATACAGAATGTGCAGGAAAGCCCTGCAGTAGAGTTTTGAAAGTATTGACGTACTCTAAAACTTCACTTCACAGGGGTGCGCAGAGCGTTTTGTATGTAGTCCAGATGAAGTTATGGATACCATAGATGAAGGAAAATCCAACAGACATGTAGCAGTTACAAGTAAGCAGCATGTTTATTAACACTAGCTAAGGTACAGACTGCCTTAAAGTATCTTTATCAAGTTGATTAAAATTGTAAGATTTTTTCTTAGGTAAAATAATGCTTTAGTGATGACTCGTAAGGGAAAGCTGTGTTTATAGTTGTTTCTGTGGTTCCAGTGCCGATATGAATGAACATAGCTCTAGCAGTCGCAGTATATCATTAATGTAAAACAAGAGCACACACAAACGGAACAAAAGCTGAGTGGAAAACTTCATCTGCTAGATTTAGCAGGTAGTGAGTGGAAAACTTTATCTGGTTGACTTAGCAGGTAGTGAAAAGGTAAAAATCTTTACATTCTGATGGATATCTAAGCATTTTTACTTAACTTTAGTTCTAATATGCGTTATTCATTGTTACATCTTGAAAATGTGTATCGAATTGGATTTGGTAATATTTTTGAGAGTTCACAAGCATTTGTGCCATTGCTTTATTGTTAAATAAACTGAATGATTCCCTCCGAGTTACTGTCATTCGGGCCATAGCCCAGTTCCGCCAACACGTGTTGTCCTTGACTCAAAGTGTATGCTTTTATTGAGAGTGTGTTCAGCATACGTCATTGAGAATCTTACTAGGTACCCTCTCCCTCATTTTTCGGTGTCTGTCTGACCCATCCTGGCGTCGGGCCCTGTGAGGACGGGGAGCTGTCCGCCAGCCCTCCCTGCTTTGGCTGTGCTGCTTTCTTCTTCTGTATGACTGTTTACTGTGGCCCTTTGCAGCCTGATTCTAGTTTATGTCAAAATGGGAGTAAGTTCAGGTGTTTTCATGTTGGCCTCTGTCGCCATTTTTGCTGTTCTGCTGATTTGTGTCTTCTGATGAGAACGACATACCTGTTCCCTTTTACGCAGAAGTCTTACACACATCCTCCAGAGCCTCTCTCTAATTTTGGGGATACTGAGAAGCCATTTCAAGTTTCTCTTTTCTGGTGCAGCAGAGGGGTTAACAAAAGTAAACTACAAATGTATGTGTAAATTGGTTAATTTCAAGAGCACACCTACTGGTGAATTTGGTAACTCCTTGGCCTGGGTCACTGGTCCTAAAGAAACAGCGTGGGCCTGGGTCACAGGAGCAGAATGCACACCCTGGGCCTGCGTCACTGGTGTTGATGGCATCCCTGGGCCTGGGTCAGTGGTG